AAAAAGAAACTCAAGAAATGATGGGAAAAGAAACGTCAACATAATACAGCATTAACCTTTATGGGAAGCTATTACAGTCATAAAACAAGAATAGAATGCTATAAAAAGGAACATTCAGAATATATGAAAGAGCTCTTAGGAATCAGAGATATAATGACCAGGAAAATTAATGCATACCGGCTAGAAGTGCAGCTCAGTAGTAAAGCACTTGCCTACACCCTGACTTCAACATCTGGAACCAAAAAAAAAAAAAAAAAAAGGCAATAGACAGAAGAGCTGAGGTTATTTGTATTTTTTTAAAAAAGCTGACAAAGTAGAAAATAATCCATAGAAATGGAAAACAGGAGAGACAATTAGAGGACCAGTCTAGGATGTACTGTATACAAATGTTGAAGTTCCACAAAGAAGGAAAACAGAGAAAAAATACCAAAGAAATAATTCAGTATTTTTCCAGAATTGAAAACAAACATTTCCAAAATAATAAAAGCCCACTGAGTACCCACTCAACCAGCAAAAAAAACTATATCATGGGACATGACTGGAAATTTTCAGAACATCAGAAACAAAGAGAAGAGCCCAGAGATAGAAAAAGTGTAAGTATAAAAGTTGAGGAAAAATAATATCAAACTTCTCACCTGCCTTTCCAAATAGGGAGAAAAATGGAGCAATGCCTTCAAAACGCTGGGAGAAAATATACTGAGTCTAGAAATGTTACACCTAGCTGTACTTCAGGTTTGAGTAGATAAGCTGAGAAGAAAGGACACTTTCAGACATAAAGTTTCACCAAAAGTACTAAAAGTGCCTCTCATGAAGCTTTTCTCACAAAGTCACGAAGGGAGGATGCCATAAACAATGAAGCTGTAATGAAGAAAGAGGAAGACATGAAATCTAAACAAAAGGGAATCCATCCACTGGAAAAGCAAGGAAATTTCCAAAATAAAGGATAAAATAAGGAAAAAACAGGCCAACTCTGGAAAAAGCACATCAAGAGAATAGCTAATCATTTTAGAAAAAAAGGTTCCTTTATGATTCCATCACTACTGGATGTGTTAAATGTATGTAGAGGAGATGAACAGTTCTGATTCAACCTGGCGATGGCCTTGTAACAGAAACACAGAAAAATAAGCAGATAAAAAAACCGGACGATTACTAAATTAGAGAAGAGGGGAAAATGGTTACAAGAAAATGTAACAAGTATACTGAATGGTTCAGCTATGAATAATAAATGGTGAGAACACTGCATAGATTAAATATTAAATTATCCAAAAATTACTCTAAATTTAGTGGGGAGAAAGAAGAAACTAACTACCTGTCTTTATTTGTCTACATGTGACCTTATTTTCCACTAGTGGATGAGAGGTAATAAAAGACTACCTTCTGTAGTCATTAGATAGAAAAATAATAAATTGTATCTAAATTTGAAAAATAAAATCAAGAGATTTATTTCATCAAATTTGAGATGACATCAATTAAAAGAATCTCCACTATTTTATGTATGTTTAAAAATAAAAGGATTTTATAATACCAATTAAACTATAACATGCCATCACTTGTAAGACCTAAGAATCTCAGAGGTATTAAAGCAAGGAGGTAGTATATGTCTTATTACCAATGCATTACGCCATGAGAAAGTTAACCTAATCAGTTGCCTCTGAAGAATAGGAATTGAGGTGGGGAGGCATGGAACTGGTTGTGATCTTTGTTACAATGTGTTGAACTGGTTGACTTTTTAAAAGTGGTATGTGTTTAACTTTAATTAAAAAATAAATTTAAAATAAATAAATAAATAGGATATAACACAATCTCCAACTAACAAAAAAGAAAAAAACAAAGTTTCTTGGTTCTGACAATGTTCATGGTGCTGGCAGCATTAGTAGCCAGAATATCAGCTCTTGTACCCAAGGCCCCATTTTCCACAAAGCGATGAGAAGGCTTAGGTTGATAAGCACATTGGTTTGCATGTTAGAAAAAGAACTGCAAACTTGAGAAACACAAATCTTTTTCTTTTAATGTTTTTATTATGGACAAATTTACTTGAAATAAAAGTTACGACCCTAACCAGTCTTAAATGTAATTAAATAACCAAATCCTTCATAATGGGTAGTGAACTGGCCTAAACTTTGTACCATATGGAGACATTATCTTTCAGGTTGTATTTGTTAATTGTTGGTTATATTAATGGTTACACTGTCTAGCTTACTGGACAATAAACAAATCTAACCTGGCCCCAAAATAGGGTTTCTCAATCTCATCACCACTGACATTTTGGGCTGGGTAATTTTATGTTGTGAGGATGGTCATCCTTCACCACCACCACCAGTGCCATCCAGTAACCACCAATACCCAGTAAGACACTATCCCTGTGGAGATACAATCTCCTCTAGGTGAGAATGGTTATTCCAGAGAAGTCCTATCTCTGACCCCCAGGGCCACTAACTCCATGTACATCCTCGAAAAGACAGTTTGGGACAAAGGCAGGCAGTGAGGGTTCCACCCTCAAGAGCTGCAGAAACACAAGCAGCCCATGGAAGATGGCCCAGCATTCACCTCAGTACCTACTGATAAGGCTGTATCTGCTTTTCAGCAATGGGTCCATTGTTCACCCGGTTTGTACACACACAAGCACACACACACATGCACACACACACAAGTGCTTCTTCGTGACCTTTCACTAAATCGCACTGTATATAGAACTTTAGCATAACAGGAAACCAGCCCGAGGAAGTTAACTAGCTAATATCCTGAGAGAAGGCTCACGTAAATAGTATAACAGCTGAGCCAAGGGATATGCAAGGACTTATATTTCCTTCCCTGGCTTTTATTTTATTTCATCTAATTGTTTCTCCCAGATAACTTCTGCTTTGAAGTTAAACAGACTCGTACTCCAGTCCCATTTCCCCTACCTAGTGATACAAACTGGGCAAGAGAATTCGCTTCTATGAGTTTACTTTCTTGAGATGTAAATACACACGTACGTATAAATGTCAAATGGGGATCTGACAGGGTTGTCACCAGAGTCACACAAGATGATGCCTGGTGCAGCGCCCAGCACTCCGGAGGATCTTAATAAACCAAATTGTTTGATCACCATTGGGCCAGGTCTGAAGAGCTGATTTTACTATCATGGAGCCAATGGGATTTACATTAGTTTCTTCACACACTCACTTACTTTTCACAATTCTTATAGCACAATTGCTTGGGATGGAGAGCAAGAGTCACTGGACCCTAGAGAGAATGGCTCTGAAACTGGACTTTCTAAGCACCTTCCCCACCAAGTGAGGTAGACAATCCCAGCGCTATGACTGATAAAGTCAAGAAGGGAAGTAACCCAGGCCTTTTGTTACCCAGCTTTATTTCCCTCAAGCGGACATCAGTTTGTTGGTACTGCTTTAGCCAATTCATTTCTCTGTCTCTTTTGCACGCTTGCAACAAGCTCTCACTCACAAGCCAAGTAAGAAGAATGTTCTGCAGACACATACGCACCCACGGCTGTGCAAGGGTGATCAGAGGTCACTTCTCCTCCTAACTCTCAGTCCTTGTAACCAGCAAGTTTATAAGCAAACAAATATCTCTCACAGATTCTGCAACTTGTCTACTAAGTGACTGACAGAGAGATCTCTCTTTTACTAATAATACTGTGGTTCTCTCTTGATATCTTGACTTTGGAATATAAATTAGGCTTTTTTTAACAGTTATTAAGAGTGGCATACATCTGATGATTTTACCTCTTTGTCTTAAAACACAATATTTAATTATAACTTCACAGAAGACTTAAAATTCTTTTTTCTCCCAGGAAAAAGCAATACCTAATAAACAGAGTTTATCAAAAACTCTTAGTCATAGCAAATCCTACAAAATAAATTGGATTTTTTAAATCTGTGATTTTTAGCACATTAGACTTTCCACCAGGAAGGCAATGCTTGCAGAAATACCTGCAGAATAATCAAGCAGCCATCTCACTGCTGCCCTGCTAAGACAAATACAGTCAAGAAGATCATCCACGGAACTCGTCGGATTGTGAAATTTGCTTTCAGAAAAGGAAATATCACAAAATAGTCAGAGGACAAGTGGCAATTCCTAGTGACTTCTCCCCATTCCTCCGAGTCTGGGATTGTCACTTCCCCTCCTCACCTAAATTCCAATCTTCCACCTAGAATTGCAAGACAGCTCATTGAATTGTAGCAAAAAGCAGAAATGATTTCTTTTTTCCATCATTTAAGCAGAATGAATGCTACTTAATTCCCTCCATAAGTATGCATGTGATACACAAACACACATACCCACTCCTTAAAGTACAAAGTTCCGGCTGGGTGTGGTAGTACATGGTTATAGTCACTCTGGGCGGCTGAGGCAGGAGGGTAGCAAATATGAGTTCAGCCTGGGCAATCTGGAGACTTAGTGGGATCCTGTCTCAAAATAAAATATAAAAAGGGCTGGGGATGTAGTTCACTGCGAGGGCTCTGGGTTCCACCCCTACTATTGAAAAAGAAGAAGAAAGTACACCGTCCCACTGACCTAAGATAATCAATACATGTCTAGCAAATATTTGGGTCACGTTTATATAAGCAATTCTTGTGTGAAAAACAAATTCCAACAACAGTTTCAATTACCCTAAAGGAGAGAATATGATAGCATTTGCTTAAATGCTTTTCTAAGTGGAAGACATTTTTTATAGATTAAAAACCTCAAGCCAATGTTCCTTTTTGTATCAACTTTCTCGTTTGCATTTCACACCTAACTCCATTCTAACTTGCTCTTCAATGCAGTTTATTATCAAAGATAGGCCACCTTTTGCATTAAAAAAAATAGGCTTTGTTCCAAGGGCTGTTATTTGTAAGAATAGGAGGAAGAACTGCAGGGTACTTTGTTACTTGTCTAAGGTCATCCAGTGGCCGGGCACCTTAGAAGGCTGTTAACAGCATGTGGCAGGTAACACAAAATTTGAAAGACAACCAGCAATCATTGGCTTTCACGCATATATTCAATGGCATGGAGATTACCTGGTCGACTGGAACCTCAACTTGAGTCTCTTCATCTTCCTGGACTTCTGCTGCCCCCCGCATTTCAGACCTCTCTGCTCCAGCTTTGAAAATGCCTTCATCTATTATTGGAGACAAACACACAGTGAAAAATGGAAATCCAATTGTGACATCGTGTGGCTGCATCTTGAAATTACAGCAGAAAATCTAATGGCTATTTTTCAGTATTTAAATTCCCCTTCTAGTGTTAGGATTTGGGGAGCCCCTAGTCCCTCAATTCTTCTACATTTTCACTGATAAAATGTTTGAGGGGCAAAACAAGGCTGACCCGGCAGAGCAGATTTTTGGTGGAGCCCTCCTCGCCCTGTGGCTATAGAATTAGCATCGTGTCCTGTACTGGGGTTAAGATGGGGACTTGACAGCCAGTGTCTCAGTGCTCTCTCCCTGGCCACCGACTAGCAATGACACATGCTGCTTTAAGGTACTACTTTCAGGCGTTCCCCTTCTCGACAGGATGCTGCATACCCAACATAATGTATCGGAATAATTCTCTATATTCAGAGTGGTGTAAAAAAAATATGTTTATTGTAACAGAATCACGGAACTGAGTGCCCATATCACACCAAAACATCTCACTTATATTGCAGATTTCTACAAGATTTTCACGACCTACGGCTTCAAATCCTTATCTATAAAATAAATCTCTAAGACTTCAGGTTAAGCCCCCTCAACTCTCTTGTCTTTGGAAAGCAATAATTGCTGCTTTCCATATTTGAAGTAGTTGTAATGTCTCCCCTCAGCCTTCTCTTCTCCAGGGCAAGTAATCAAAGAATCACAGGACCATTTATCATTGTGTCTGTCAGCTTGCCTCAAGACAGGTCCGACGCTTCAGCCTTCCCCACAGATGTTTTCTCTGTCCAATTTTTAAGTCTCTCCAGGGATGAGGATTTTACCTCATTCCCTGGTAATCCATTAAGTATTTGATTACCCCTACAGTCTAGAAAATACGTTTTTATCTTTCACCGTAAAGTCCCCTCTGTTTCTGTAATGGGAGTGTGTTTCTCAGAGCACAATAATTTAACACACTTTATAAAATAATACTCCATAATCACCCCTTACTGGATGCAAAATGTTTTAACATGTGCTGGGGAACAATGACACGAAAACGCGGTGTGAGCCAAGTGATAAGAGCCTGAGATTCGGATGAGAAGTACACTGTTTCCAAGCTGCTGAAGGCCGGATGAGAGAGACAAACACATCACCACCACCAAGATGGACCCATAAGGGCTGTGACCAGTAAGGGGCACTGCAGGGCCTCATGGGAGCTAAGAAGATGCACTGAGGTGAGGGAGGAATGAAGGGAGAAAGGAGCGGGAGAGAGGGAGAGAAACTAGGCACGCTGGACATTCATTTCTGAAATTACCTTAGAAGCCAACAGTCACTGTCAGACACCGGCCTGGGTAGACGACCGTGCTGACTGTACACAGCGACTCTGTGGACGGCACGTCTGCATCCCAAAGTTGCACTTGCTTACACAGAGAATCCTATAAAGAGCCCAGGAACACATTCCTAAGGCTCACACTCCACCAGTTTGACTAGGTCTGAGCCCAGCGACAAACGTTTCGCTGATGTGTTTTTGGAACCGGCATTCCACCAGAAAGGAAGAATACAATCGATAATCACAAAATAAAACTGAAAGGGCACTGGAATGGAAATTGGCAACCAGAGAGATGTGAACAACAAGGACACGGATCAGCAAAGCTCAGGCTTGTGTCCAGTGACACAAACACAGAACACAAAGGTAAAAAGCATTTGTCCTCGGTGTCGGGGGCAGGGGGGCCGCTCCTCAGGAACTGAGAGGCTCAAGTTCCTCCAGCAGCAGGAGCCAGAGAGGGGTCTGAGGGAAGGTGGGGACCCTGGGAATGGGGGAGAGGAGGGAGAGTTCCCAGCTGCAGGAAGAAAGCCCAGCCGGTTTTCACGTTCACGAAAACCCTCACATTAAATTAAAGTGAGCTAATACATCATAGAAAATATATTTTTATTATAAATCATTTCAATAAATGCATTTTAGAAATCTTAGATGAAGGAAATAAAAGCCTTTCTTATCTCATGACCAAGAGCTAACTGTCAGTAACATTTTAACAGCTCTTTCTGTGTCTCTCCCTCCTACCCTTCCCTCGCCCCCTCCCTCTGTTTGTCCCTCTGTCTCTCTCTCCCTCTCTGTCCCTTTCTCTCCCTTCAAGGCCCCCATATAAAACTGAAATTTTATTGTATACATAATTTATAAGACATTTTTTCTACGTTAAACTCATATAATGAGTATTTCCTGCACCATTAGATATTCCTTGATGATAATAAAATGTGATGATACCATATGCTAGCCTCATGAAAGGAAAACACTGAATGAAAAAATAGAATTTTCTAAATGGATAGGGAGGGTGTGGCACCATCTAGGCCTCTGGGGTTGTGTCGCCACAGCAGGCCGCTGTTTCTCTTGCAGAGGTGGACTGTCGCCCCTCCCTCTCTTGAAACCTCGTCTTCCCAGAGTAAGCACAGCGCACTGCACTCTGAGTCCTCCCAGAGCATCCGTTGCAGTGAAGACCAAAGGCAGGCCCGTTTTTAACTCTTGGTCCTACCCCGGCCTGCCCTTCACACTGTGCCAGCCAGGCCGGGCCCCTTGGCCTGCGCGGCCTCACCCTGCAGCTCCTCCACCTCGCACCGGAGAAGACCTCCCTCCCCACAGCCCAGACACCCCTGCTCAGCCGGCCACGACCCAAGCGCTCACAGGCTCCACGCCGCAGGTCGCCTCTACCCACTTGCCCAGCTCCTGCTTCAGCCCAATCCCTGTAGCAGCCTCCCGAGGCCTCCTCCCAGGTCCTAGCCCCACAACGTCCTCCTCTCCTCAACAGGAAGAACCAGTAACACCCTCCTCCACTTGCATTCTCCAGCTCTCAGGCTTCGCTTATTCGTAGATCAAGGTTTAAAAAAAATAAATAAATAAGTAAATAACTAGAATTAAACGCAGGGCCGTCGCACTCTGCCACAACCCCAGCAATTTTTTTTTTTAATCTTGCTAAGTTGCCTAACTGCTCAGAGTGAGTGACCCTCCTGCCTCAGCCTCTCAGAATGCCGGGATTCCAGGAGTGTGCCGCCATGCCCAGCAATCACTTGTCATTTTGTCCGCTTCTCGCACCCATTCTGGTCTCCGGTTCCTCAAGCTCCATCGGGCACAGACAGGACCCCAGCTACAGCTTCTGTCTCAGTTCTCAGCCCTGGACTCACAGGGTGTTGCTGTCATCTCACGTCTTGAGGAAATGTTCGTTAAACTGAACCAGCCACACAAAGCATACGGTAACACTTGGCATTGCCTGGAAGGGTTATTTGTAAGAGAATTTGTCTGTGAATAGATCTTACTCATGGCCAACACTGACGGGCCAATGTGAATGTTCACAAAGAAATCGGGCCGTAAATTAAATCACTCGATGCACAAGAATTGCCAACAAATCCAAATTAGCACGAGGAAGAATTCAGATGACATAATAAGTGCCCTCTGCCAATGCTGTAGTAAAACACAAGTGGGGATGCGCTCTGTGGATGAAGTCAAAGAAACAATACTGAACATTTAACATGCCCGTGTGCAAGGATAGAGTCTCATAAGAAATTTGCAAAAGTATTACATGTTTTAGAAAGGGCAATATTATTCAAACACTGTAAAATCTTAACCCTTTCCCTTTATTATTACCACCAGTTTAAACGTACACAGTAAATTCGTGATTCAGATCATAATAGAAATTATTGTACACAATGGTTAGGTGGTTGTTGCTATAGCAACATCAGGCATCCTAACCACACCTCAGGAAAGCAGGGCCACCTGGGGAGAAGTATTCAGTCAGTAGTGAGACACAGACAGTCTTAGCATCACTCAGGATATTCCCAGAAATAGCGGCTTAGCTTTACTCCATACCAACATCAGAGGTAAGTGAACCTTTTGCCACAGACTGCCCATCTATAACTCCTGGTGTGCCTACAGTAGTCTTGCGGTCTTGCACACACCCAATTCTTCTTCTAAGTCTGAAGTCTTTCAACCACTCACGAAATTATTTCTTATGTATTAGGAATTCTCCTGCCTTGGAAATTTACTGTACATGGTAAAGACAAGAGCAGAATGCTTGCACATCATGTAAAAGCAGGCTTTCCTCTTATAGATAGAAAAGCTGGGTTCTTGGGTAAAGGAAAAACAGGGCAATGCACCCTCTTGGAACACGCCCTCCTGGCAGAGCACTTGGTGTTCAGCTGACTGTAGTCACTGTCCCCACCCTCACTGTCCCACTTTTCCTAACCCATCTCTTTGTAGCAGCATTCAATAGGGACTGTTCTTCTTAAAATTATATTTCTATTCACTTTATGTCTTAGCAGCTTTCAGCACAAATAATCTCTCTCTTTCTCTCTCTCTCCCTCTCTCTTCTCTCCCTCTCCTTCTCCACTTCACTTTTTGGTGTCATCAGCAGAGTCCTCTAAATCTCTTTGGCCAACCCATCCTCATCTGCTCAATTTCTAAGTGCTAAACCACCCCAGAGCTGCATCGTGGGTCTACTTCCCTACCAACGCATCCTGCACAGAAGACCTCATCAAGTCCATCATTCGGACACCAGCACTACACCAGAAATTCCCCAATATATATCTTTACCCCCCAAGATTCACAGATTCCCCAGACATACATATATATCTAGTTGTCTAACTTCACATCTCCCCTGGGATGTCTACTGGGCATCTTTACCTAAACATGGCCAAAATGCCCTAAACTGTCCACCACCACCCCCATATTTCTCATTCCAGGAAGTGGCAACCCTGCTCAGTTAAGACTCTGAGAATTATCTTATTTCTTTCCGCCTGCATTTTCTATCCATTCCATCATTAAGTCTTGTCCAATTCATCTTTTTAAAAAATACTTCTCAATGGAACTCTTAGAAATAGGAACATCTCATCTGGCATTTTCTTGTCACTATTTCTTATCTTTTCTTTTTTTCCTGAAAAAATACATTGAAAGGATAACAGTTACAAGCTATCAATGAGTCAACAGGAATGACACAGTATTATCTGGCGGCGCCAACCCTGGGCTATC